ATATAGTATGGAACACAGTACAACTTTAAAAGTCCCACTGTCTTTAAAAATTGATTTAAAAAATTATGCTCTTTTAACTGTGGGATTCTGTAAAATAAAAAAATGAAAAGGGGGAAATAAAAACAAATAACAAACCCAAGCCAAACAGTATTCCAAGTGAGAAGAACCGTGCCAGTTACAGTATGAACAAAGCAAAACTATAGTGTAAATAAATAGCTCAGTGTCTGAGATCTTGAGGTCTGTGATTCATTCGTGATCTTCTGTGTACTAAAGGGCTTGGGTCATTTTACTTCTTTGTCTCTGCCATTCACAGCATACACAGCTTGTGTCATAGGTTCAAGTCAGCTCCACTCCACATTTATGACTGACCTTGTGGATGTCCCATTGTTCTGACTTCTTCAATACCTTAGTGAACCTTTTATTCATCACAGCTAAGTTTTCATCCCCAGAGGACCAGTATTTATTGTCCCACTCAAGCACAGCAAGTTTCACTTCCAGATTCTTCATTCAAATATATAAATCATCTTGATAGAATTTTTGAGTGACTCTCAAACTTCCCGGAAACTTCGTTCCTGGTACCCATTTCTATTGTGGTTTGCCTTTTTGTTGCTGTGATAAACAATATGACCAAAAATAATTTGGAGAGAAAAAGGGGTTATTTCATATTAAAATTCCAGGTCAAAGTCCATCTTACAGGGAAATCAGACAGGAACCTGGAGGTAGGAGCCATAGGGGAATGCTACTTACTGCCTATTTCTCTCTTGACTTGATCAGTGAGATTTTTTTGTATAGTTCATCCCACCTGCTCAGGCACCACCCACAGTGGAACAAGCTCTCTATCAATTATCAGTTAAGAAAATCCCCACAGATATTCTCAAGGGCCAGTCTGATAGAGGGAGTCCCACAATTAGAACTCCCTCACACAACTCAGGACTGTGTCAAGTTGACAGCTGAAGCTAACTAGGATGAAAGGTAGTTTCTTAACAGGAGCCCATGTACAATCAAAATCAAATTATATGTTACTCATATGATGTTACAGGTGAGCATCATTCCCATTCCTCAAAGGGGGAAAAGTAGGATATTATGAGACAATGACACCAAAGGAAGACTGAACTCCTGCAGGGCCAACATTAAAGCCTACATTTTTGTGTAGCTTTTGTCCAGTCCAGCTGACTTGTCCAGTCCATAACTGAGAGGGTGAGTGTGGATTGAGGACATAGACAAGAAACAAGAGATAGAGTCAGGAGGGCACGCTAGTGAATATTGGGGAAAAATCCCCAACTTTATTACATACCGTCTTTATACACCCCATTCAAAAGTGGGGGAAGGCAAGGAGACTTCGTTACCAATATACAAAAGAACAGGCAAGTGTAATTACCTTTTCAACACCCAAAACATCAAGTAACTACACCCTAAACTGGGTATCCTGTTGTCAAGGCAAGATAGACAATAGTCACACCTTAAATATCCTGTTGTTAAAATAAGACATTCATTAGTTACTTTTTAGGCCAAATATTCTGTTGTTTAATCTTGAGAGATTAAGATCTGACCTTAAGTCAAATTGAAGTGGAGCCATTTCTATGGGCCCAGACACTACACATGTAACTTTTCCCTTAGGCCACCTCTAGTCAGTACATGTCATTTTCTTCAATGGATAATTAGTGCTTCTGGAACCTTCTTGAGTGTTGGAACTTCCAAAGTTCATGCTAGCTCAGGAGCTCTGTACAGGGAATCAGACCCTGCTATGAATTTTTATTTTACCTCATAGACTTTTTTCTCAAACATTTGCATATACCTCCAATGACCCCCTTCATTCTTGTATTCTGAGTGTCTGCAAAGTTAAAGCTGGACCCTCTGGGAACATGGCTTCAGTGACTGACCTCTGTGTGTGCTGCACAGGAAGCCCTTACCTGTGTGACTCTGTTACTGGGAGATCTTCAGTACCCTCTGATCTTGACTTGAGAGGCTGTGTCTGTTCTTGTGCTCTTAAAAGAGGAGAATTCTGATGCAATACACTAGTAGACCAAGCAGTCAAAAGTTCATTAGAATAAGAATATGCTCTTTAAAAAAGGAGCAAGGCCTAGACAAACAGTAATGGTCCTAGTCTTAGCCTTATGTTTCTCTTCTGTTGTTCCTTTCAATGCACCTTCCCCAAGGGTGGCATTTCAGGTGTGCTTTTTTCCTCGTTGATGAAAGTACATTTTACCCATAATCCATTCTATTTTGAAGATAAAATAAAAGTATGGATTTAACTTACTCCTAAAGTAAAAAAGTTCTCTAGGGGAAAAGGGTAATGGTACTGCTCATACTTCCCATGAGGGTGGCTGCCTATGAAGTTGATTTTAACTGACCCAGCTAAAGACCACTAGCACCTATTGGACTTTGCATCCTGTTTTGGGAGCCATGAGCTTGTCCGTCTGAAGGGATTGCCACACATTATTTTCACATCTTGTTTCAAGTGACCTTCCTACACTATCTATGGCCAAGCCAGAGAAACTACCTGCTGGAGGCATTCTTTCTCTTAGGAGACAATGTCAAACATCTTTCCTTTCCTTATAAAGCTTTAATAACAAACCTAAACACAATTCCACCAGAGCCCATCTTGGGAAGCCACTGAGTTTATTGGGTAGGTGACCCCAAAGCAGCCTTACCACCAGGATGTCTCATCCCTCTGTGGATAACATATTCCCATAGCTACTTACCTACTCCCCCTTCAGTTGACTGTCCACAGTCTATATACTCCAGTACCTCCCAAGACCTCAAGGTCACACACAAGGCAGAATTGCATGCAGCTGGCCAGGTTTAGGCATGAGCATCAGGAATCTTAGATGAGGTCCAGAGACCCATTCCACCTCTTCCTTCTAAGTAGTAAACAAACCTTGTATTGAGGCAGTCTTGAAGTAACCACAGCTGTTCTGACATGCATGATATTTGCTATTCTCAGAGGCTAATGTTGTAACACACGGCTACCTGTTGTTCTTTATGTCCTGGGGCAGGGATGCTGCTGGTCAGTCCCTCTTACAGCTAACCTCTTGCCTGACAGCACTATTGTGAGCAGGAATATCCAAATGAAAGTCTCTCAACGAGGTTTCAGTTTCATCCTGGGGCTTCAAGGTGAAATGTCTCACCGCCCCCCTCCCCACCTTTCCTGTCAGTGTGAGAAGCCTGAGGTTCCTATTTAAGGTGCAAATGTCCTTAACAGTTTCAGAATCTGCATCTACATTGTCTACACCATCAAATATAATGCTTCCCAATTGTATTTATACCTTACATAGTTTGGCTCTGGTTTTAGCTCTGAGTTGTCACTATAAACGTGGTTAAAACAGCCAGTAATAACCATGCCTGAAAGCCATGCTGTCTGGAAATTTCCTGATTTCTTTCTCAGTCACTTCATCATCTGTATATAATAGGGCCACTGATTTTTTTGAGTTTACCTTGTATCCTGCCACGTTGCTGAAGGTGTTTATCAGCTCTAGGAGTAATCTTGCGGAGTTTTTTGGGTCACTTATGTAAACTATCATATCATCTGCAAATAGTGAAAGTTTGACTTCTTCTTTTCCTATTTGTATCCCCTTTATCTCCTTTTGTTGTCTAATTGCTGTAGCTAGAACTTGAAGTACAATATTGAAGAGATATGGAGAGAGTGGACAGCCTTGTCTTGTTCCTGATTTTAGAGGAATTGCTTTGAGTTTCTCTCCATTTAGTTTGATGTTAACTGTTAGTTTACTGTATATTGCTTTTATTATATTCAGGTACGTTCCTGTTATCCCTGATCTCTCTAGGACCTTTATCATGAAGGGGTGCTGGATTTTGTCAAAGGCTTTTTCAGCATCTAGTGAGATGATCATGTGGTTTTTCTTTCGCAGTTTGTTAATATGGTGGATTATATTGATAGATTTTCTAATGTTGAACCATCCCTGCATTCCTGGGATGAAGCCTACTTGATCATGGTGGATGATTTTTCTGATGTGTTCTTGAATCCGGTTTGTGAGTATTTTATTGAGTATTTTTGCATCGATGTTCATGAGGGAAATTGGTCTATAGTTCTCTTTCTTAGTTGTGTCTTTGTGTGGCTTCGATGTTTTCCCTATATACATTCTGCCAATGGCTCCTATTGTCTTTTGCATTTGAAAGCTTGGTCTCAAGTTAGTGCAATTGTTTTAGAAGTATTAGACATGTGACATTGTTGGGAGAAGTGTATAAAGGGATTGGGATTTGAGTTTTCAGAAGCCCAAATCATTCTAATTAGCTTTTTCTGCCTTGTGCTTGTGGATCAAGATGTAAGCTCTCAGCTACTGCTCCAATGCCATGCCTCGCCCATGATGCTCATGGACTCCAGCCCTCTGAAACTGCAAGCCCTTAGTAAACTCGTTTCTTTTTTTTCTATAAGTTGCCTTATTCATGGTGTCTTATTACAGCAATATAAAAGTAACCTAGACAATGAGGATAGTTAAACGTTATTTAATATTTAAAATATACTTGATTAGGCTAGAAAATGAATTTTTGGGCCTTGAAACTTTACCCTGTCACTTCTAATGATAGGATGAATGGACATCTATTTTAGTATCTGTGTGTTTGGCCAATACAAATACTCTTCAGAGTGATGGGAAATAGAGCCATGCTTTTCTGCAGTGTCATTTCTGTCCTTGAGTATAATGCTTTAATTCTGCTGGGTGCTACTCCTTTGTGAGTACATGATGTTGAATACTCTATATCAGCCTTCAGCAGAAAATGAGACCCAAAGGCTGACTGCTTAAAATTATTAAATTATTAGGTCATATCTCAAAGGTCAATGTATAGAATTTTAAATGTGGCATAATAACCAAATAGAAAATGACACATTTCTAAGAGGGAAGGCAATATAAAGGCATCTCACTGAACTCTGTGAGCAGCTGAAAATTCTAGTCCCTGGGGTGGGAAGTGACTGTTCCCCACCATGTTAGTGGGGTAGCTCATTTGAATTACAATGCAGGTGTAGTCACTTATCTAATTGCTTTCAGGTGACTTGTCCAGGAGTGGTGCTGAAAGACAAGGAGGACATCTATCTAAGTGTCTGTGTGTTTGGCCAATACAAGAAGACACAATGTGTCCCAGCCACATTTCCTCTGGTCTTCAATGCCAGAATGGTGTTTGAAAAGGTGGGTACAAAAATCAGGCAAGTATTAACAAACAAAAATCTATGATTCCAGTTTCGAATAAAATCCTGCAGCATAAACTATTATTGCAGACTATGTGCTTTGGTTTGATTCAAAATGAAAGTTGTAGCACGTTTAGACTTTTGAAGATATTCCCTTTATTATGCATTGAATCAATTGCCTTTTCTCGATGTGACCCAGCCTGTTTCTAAAACAGCTTAGTGGGCTTCTTACAAAGCATGGCATCTTGACTGCTGAATAACTTCTGTACAAACTAAAGCACAAATAGGTGAGCCTATGTTGCGTTTTACCTAGGAATATCTTGTGCTTTTCTGTTTCATCGTCTCTCTCTCTCCATTTTCCTTAAAAGCACTGGCATTGGTAATAATTACCAACCATATCCCCTTCCTCCCAGACTTGTCTTGTTTCTAGTCTTTCCCTCCCTCCCTCCCTCCCTTCCTCCCTCCCTCCCTCCCTCCTCCCATCCTCCTTCCTCTCTTCCTCTCTTCCTCTTCCTTTCCTTCCCTCCCCCCTCTTCTTTGCTTTCCTCAAAAATAAAATAGACCACTACAGGTATTTGTGGAAAGTACTGATGACACATAATACACATAATACAAGGCAAAACTATCTCTTTCTGGAGTTTAATAAATGCGTAAATACACATAAGGGAATGGTGAGAAATTAGGGGAGAAATACATACATTTTAAAAATGTCAAAGGCGGCAATAATATTTCAACGAACCTTGAATGAAACTGAGTTATTTGAAGGTCTAGGGGAGAGAATTCTAAGTAGAGAGCTAACAAACACAAAGGTTTCTTGTGAGGAGTTAGCTTGCTGAGGTGGGAGGGTTGATAAGATGGTTCCGAGGAGCACAGCTAAGAATTCTAGTGAGTGATAGGAGAGGGAGGCATATCCAGTTACAAAATGTACTTGTGAAATGATGGGAAGCCGAGAAAATTATTGAAGATTTGTTTGGAGGGTTGGCATGGTGATTTATTCCTGTAATCCCAGAATTTGAGGTACTTTGGCAGAAGAATTGAGAGATCAAGACCAAACTGGGATACTTAATGAGTCTTCTTCTCAAAAACCAAATCAAACCGAGCCAAAACAATAAACCCCCAAGCAAATCAAGATTTTTCTTTGTTTGGGAAAGGGAATGGGAAAACAGTCTACTTACATCTTCTTTGGCTTCCTCTTCTCATCCTGCCCCTTGCCGTGGGTGTCTGTGCTCCCTCTCTGCAGGTGTTCCCGGAAGCTGTAGACCCTGGAGATGTGGTTGCACAGCTGGAATGTAAGTTTTTAATTTTTTTTAAATTACTGATTGGAAAACATTTTAGGAAGTATCATCCTTATGCTATTTGATTTGAGGTTAAGTAGATGCTTAAAAGTCTAGTAGGATTTCAAAAATGTTGAACTGGGAAATTTTCATAATAAAAAAAATCTTTAAATAAACCTGAAAATAGAAATACTGGTATCTTTTTTGTTGTGGATAAACAGAGACTTTTTCCCCTTTCTGTTGTGGTCTATGATAAATTAAGAATTACTTACATATTTTGGCCAATAAGGTACGAAGTGTTCTGATGGAGTTTCATGATAGGTGGAGCTTTGTCCTGCAAACAAAACCTTAATGTAGGGGTAAAGAACTCAAGAGTCTCAAAGAGTCTCAGAGTAGCTTGGCTGAAAATATCTGTGCCTTTAGTTCAGTAGTTAACATTTTTTTCAAGGTTCTACATGACAGTACTACCCCACTATCTGTATATCAGTTGGAATAAACTGCACAGCCAGCCATGCTAGGAGTACACTTGGAAAGGACTTGTCTAGGCTCTGGTTATGAAATGGAAGGCTGACTTTTATGCCTAAAAATAGAGAGCATCCAAGGTCACAGACTGGTCTTTGTGCCTCAAGGCTGGTGACTTCACTCCCTTGTGTCCTCTCATGCTTTCCCTCACTCTCCTCCTCCGGGACACTCTAGCAACTTAAAAACATGGAACCTGGCAACAAGCTAACCTTTTAGGATGGAGGGTGCAAACAAGTCAGTCTGCTTGCTTTTATGGGATTAGGGCCTAGTGACTCTGCAAAATGCTTTGCACCAGGGGCTGGCTATTTCATGTCTGTTCTAGGACCTGACATTGTATTTCTACTGTGGTAAATACGCTCAGTGGCAATTGTTGCCTGTAAACCAATGTATTTAGTATTTCCTGGACATCGTGTTCAGTATCCGGGAAACCATCTATTACAAGCATTGAGGGCGACTATTTCTCTCATTTTGAGCTTTTCCCATTGAGAGAAACCCACTATTTATCTAGAAAATTTAGGGCTTCAAATTACTAATTACTGGTGATTGTTTCTTGAAAGGGGTCTTGATTTCCCTCACTTTTTTTCCTTTTGATCCTTTACTCATGCAGTGAAATTCTGCTTTTTATCCTCTCATCTGTCTTCAAGTGTTTGTGTTTCATTTCTCATAACTCTGTGCTTCACTTTGCTCTGTCCTTATGGCATATAGTTTGTCTTTACATTTTGCCTCTCAGATAACTTCCACAGCAACCTTCACTAACAAAGTATCTTCTTTTCTTTTGGTCTTCCTTCTGCTATGGTTTTCTTTGTCCCCTAATGATTTCTAATCTGGAAAATAAAAGCTCTATTGAGTAGAGACAATACCCACTTCAGTGGAGTGATGTCCCTGTGCCTGCCATCTTGCCTCAGTGATTTTTGAGGTCTCATTAACCTTATCCCTTGTTCTTGCTGGCCACTTGCAAGACAGGTGGGCTGTTCAAATGCATATTTTATTCACGGTGTCATTTTACTACAGGTGTGTAACAGATGGAGGCACTATGCTGTTGTCACACTTCACAAAATGAGCAGTTCCTCAGTTAAGTCAAACGTTTCCTCCTCTGTACCCCACATGTCTTTTTAAGTTAGCTTCTTAAAATAAGGATTTTGTCAGGCTTTAATCTCTGACATGATGTGGCTATTTCTTTAGTTTCTTTTTATCTGTAATGGTGTGTCACATCTTTCTATTTGTTTTTAATGCTGTGAATAAGAAAACTAGGTCCTTCAGAATTTCCTGTCTTTCATATTGTCTAATTGCTTCCTTACCAAAGCTCTGTTTGACTTGCTTATTGCTTGTTATTATATAAGCTGCTAATGGAACTGGAGGTGTTTGGATTGAGGCTTATTTCACTTCATTTTGTTATTTGGCAAAAATCCCTGATAGTTGGTGTTGTATGCTTATTGTATCGTGTCAAGTGACACGACTATCTTGTCCTTAGGATGCAGAGACTGGTCATTTGGCCCTAGTCAGCCTTATCCTGAAATCTCCATTTCAACTTCCTAATCAGCCTCTTATCTGCTAGCTTTAGCATCCACTGAGAACCATCTCTTTATTATTATAATACTATCATTCTCTTGTGTTTTTTAACTATAATTTTTTGTATGTGGGGTGTGTGTGTGTGTGTGTGTGTGTGTGTGTGTGTGTAGGCCTAAAGTGGATGTCTGATGTCCTTCTAGACCATTCTCCACCTTATATATTGAGAAGGGTACCTCCCTTCATTGAACCTGGGGCTTGCACTTAAGGCTTATCTGCTAGCCAGCTTGCTCTGGGGTATCCAATGTCTTTGCTTCTTGTGAACTGGGATTACAGATGGGCACCATCTTTTCCAAAGGCATTTCCTGGGTTTCAGGGAACTTAACTCTGGTCTTTAGTTTGTATGGAAAGTGTTCTGCCTGCTGAAACATCTCCCCAGACTGTGTAATTTTTTCTTACTTTCTTTTTATTGTTTGTTTTTTAAGATAAAATTTTCATACTATATATTCTGATCACAGTTTCCCCTCCCCCAACTCCTTCCAGATCCTCTCCACCTCACCACCCATCCAACTCTAAGCCTTTAAACAAATAGGCACCCCGTAAAAAAGAATAAAAAGAAAAATAAAGAAAAAACAGGAGAAACATATATACCTCCAACACCTAGATACATTCTCTACCTGAGACTTCTGTAATTTTTTCTTATCAGCAATTCAGGTCTTCTGAAATACAATCCCTATGGAAGAGGCGGGGCAAGCCTTTACAATGCCTTTTGCTCTTTCTTGTTAAATAGCTTCAGCAAAACTTACACATCATGGAATTTACCCCTTGTAGTTAAAAAGTTTTCAGGATGTTTATGCAAGTGTGAGATATCACCACTATCCACTTTAGGATATTTCTGTCACCATCAAACCTTCCCTGAGGTATATTTATTCAACCCCTGTGTATTTATTCAAATTTCTTGGCCCACCAGTCTCTAAATAATGACATGGATACTTATTATAATTATGAAAGCTTGACCTTTAGTTTAGGCTTCTTCCCACTAGCTCTTATACATTAAATTAATCTGCTTCTATTAGTCTACATTCTGCCACATGTCTCTCATTCTTGTTCTCCATAATGTATGTCTGCCTCTCTCCATGTCTCACTGCCATCTCTCACCTCTCTTCTTTTCAGAATGCCTTTCTCTTCCCGGAAGTTCTGCCTTTTCTCTCCTGCCTAGCTATTGGCCATTCAGTTCTTTATTAAACCAATCAGGTCCCTTAGGCAGGCAAGGTAAAACAGCCGTATATCTTTACACAGTTTGCTCCAATATTCTGCAACAAACAAGTGTCTACCTTCACTTCCCAGGAACCTCTCATTTATTTCTCTCTATAGACTTGCCTTGCCTCATTTCTTTCCTCTCTAGCTTATTAATTTAGAATAATGTTTTTGAGGCTCATTTGTATTTTTCCATATATAAGATGTTCATTTCTTGTGATTGCAAAATAGTACTTCTTTATAATAAGCATTTTGACTGTTTGGCTATTGTAAATAATAAATTCATTAGTATCTGCTGGTTTGTAGGCCAAGTATATGTTTAAAATTTGAATATGCAGTGAACATGTTTTTAAAAGCTATTGCACCATTTTACACTCCTTTGAGTTCATGAATGTTTGCTTTGCTGTGTTGTTCCCAAGACTGAATATTGTTGGTTTTTTGTTATATATGTATATATGTATAGCTATTTTTGTGGGTATATAAATATATCTCATCGTATTTCAAATTTGTACCTTAACACTAATGATTTTGAACATCACTCCATGTGCTTATTAGCCATTCATATTTTCCATATAAACACTTATTCAAGTATTTTGCTTGTTTTTGAATTGTGTTGTTTGCCTTCATATTAAATTATATAGGTCTTAATTTTTAATATTCCAAATGTAAGCCCTATATCATGTGAAAAATTTGTAAATTTTTTTTCTGGTCTGTCAGTTTTGTTTTATTATCATAATGATGCCTTTTGAGGAATTAAGTCTATTGTATCAGTTTTTTCTTTTTGGTTTATGCTTTTGAATTGCGCCTATGAAATTTTGGTCAACCCAGGGTCACACCAAATTTTCCCCTGTACTATTGAAATTAGTAGTTTTAATTCTGTAGTTTAGAGCTGTGGCACATTCTGAGTTAATTTTAGATATGGTATGATGAAGTCAGAGTATAGTCACTCTTCCCCACAACCACACTTTCTTTCTTTTTATGGTTGAATATCCAGCTGCCCCACTGATTATAAGATGCTCTTTCCTTCATCAATTGTCTTTTGTACCTCACTTAAAAACCAGCTGACTGATGTGAAGTTTCCTTTTGTCTATTCCTTTCATCTACATATTTACCTTTAAGTGACTATTACTGTCTTGCTCACTCTAGCTTTATAGAAACCTTGAAGCTAGTCTGTGTAAGTCTTGGCTTCATTTATGTTAAGAAAGTTGCAGTTGTGACACTTACTGTGATTTTAAACAGGCCAATTTTGTAAATGGCCTGAATTCCATGTTTTACCTCATGTTGTAAGACATAGTCAAAATATGAAGGCAGATGTAATTTGCTGTTGAATTGGCCTATATATACTTTACATTTCTAAGAACCACAAAGATCTCTAAAGGAAGGAAAGAATGGTTGTTATAATACTGTAGGAAATTGGACCTTAGAGAGTGAGTCCAAACCAAAGCAGGTGAGGAACAAGCACACTATGTAGACAAAACTTGCATGGAATGTTTATTGGGGGAAGGGAAGTAAGTGAATGGATGGGAGAGAGGGGAGAGAGAAAGAGAGAGAGGCACAGACCTGCTTGCCTCTTTAGAGGAACAGTGAGAGTGAGTGGGAGTAGATGGAGCTTGTCTCTTAAAGGACCTTTTGCACCTGTGTACAGAGCCAAGGTACTGCTTGCCATGGGCCCCAAGGGGCATGGCCAAGGTGTGCCTGGATGGTAACAACAGATGCTGTGGGGGCAGTCC